CTGTGCTAATGTGTTACAGTAACTTGGATCGATGCACAAATGTACCAAGTTCCACTTTGTTTACTGCAAACCATGTGAAATTTCTCGTCAGTCAATGTTGAAAATAACTTCAACTAAATGAGATTGTACAGTTTAAGAAAATACACTCTATTCACCAAGTCCAATAGAACATTCACGATAAAAAAATGAGAACTACAATGTGGATTAATAGTGTAACATAACAAAATAACGATTTATTGCATCACACCAGCAGTTTCCAAAAGTAAGAAGTTGTTCAATAAATACAGTTGACCTATTTGTTCCAACCTCACAATCTCCTTAAATGTACCTAGTCGAATAAAGGTATATATAATTGTCAGGATATTCATTAAATATACCAAGAGAATTATTTTTGGAAGTCTAATCCTATTGGTCAGTTCCTACTGGTCAATATTATGGTCGTCCTAACTGTCAATGTTGTTCCCTATTAGACTAAACTGTATAAATAAGCATTATCTGTAACGATTTATGACCCGGATCTTGATTCTCTTCTGGACCCAGACCTCGTATTTACTGGATTGCTTGTTGAATACAGGTTCTACTTCATATCCAGTCTTCTTTTAACTCAATGAGGGTTTGGGACACTCGGATTATAAAAGCATGTCGTGTCGCCGGATCCTCACTCTCGTTTTTCGACTAAGGTATACTCATAATAATTCAAGCATATCAAACTGACACGTTAACGTTCATGCGTAATAATAATAGATTCCGAAAACAGCAGATAACAATTTTTTTTCAATGAAAACATTTATTATTGAGTAAACTATGACACAAAAACAAATAGATATTGCATAATATGAATTCACCAACAAGTACAACAAAATGAATAAATTGTTTTTACGTGTATAAAAGATGTATTGTTGAGAAAGTGATTGAAAAAAATATGTAAAGACTAAAAATAAAATGCAGTACTGTATAATTATTACAAAAACGATTTTATCATTATTATTATTAGTAGTATTAGTAGTAAAACATATTAACATTCTGTAGCATTTAAACAACGTAAACGAATTTTTAAAGCATCCTCCAATAAATAATCACGTAAATTCCATAATGCTTCAGTTACTGAACAACTTTGAACTTTTTTTGGATCAGTAAAGAAATTCCCAATTAATTGATTAGCTACATTTGGTTGAATTGATGGCGTTGTATCCAATGAAGCTGACAATTGATTATGCCAATCACCTAATCCACCACCACTTGGAGTATTTTTACGCAAACGATTAATGTAACTAGAAATAAGAGAAAAAAAATTCAGCAAGAAAATCAGGCGTTAGTAATTTTTTTTTAAATTATGTAACATTATGTAAAAAAAAATGTAAAATCGAGAAAAAACAACATTACCATTTCTTATTGATAGGTAATGTAACTTTGAGATTATATACAGACAGACAGATACAAAACAGAACTTCGCACGTAAGTACATCACTCCAGGTTGTCATACCGCATTAGCACAGAGACGCTACTCTCAGTTCAAGTCACATAGTGGTAGCCACAGTAAAAGTATTAGCTGTAATGGAGAAGATTAGGTTTTATAGATATGATTCGAGAAGTATAATTCAGTGAGATAATTTTAGAAAGACAAAGGTAGAGGTGATGGGGAATTCAGGTTAGAATTTGAACGACTTTGAACCATGTCGTTCAAGGTCTCTAACCATCGGTTATTATTACCTCACGGACCCCAATCAGGTAGTCTACATCTACCAACATAACTCAATCCACTTGTCAGTGACTTCATTGATTTATGCCATGTTTTGGTCTGGCCGCCCCTAACTTTCTTCCAACCTACTCCTACACTACAAAACATCTCTCACAAGGCAGTCGGTAGTCGGGCATACGTAACACATGTCCCAACCACCTCAACTACTGGAGTTTCAATGCTTCATCTATTGATTTGCCATCCTTACCTAGTACTCGTTTCCTAAAGACAGCATTACTCACTCGGTTGTCCCACGATATATGAGCAATGCTTTGAAGACATCTACAATCGAATACTAATAACCCCCGAATATCCTCTACTCCTACCGGCCATGTTTCACATTGGAATGATACCATTCTCAATAAACGTTAGCCTCCAAATTACATGTGCCTTAAAAGCTATTACATTCGATATAGTACCACAATTGTTGTTATTAAAATTATTATTATTATTGACAATGATGATTTCCGGACTTAATTATTTTGAAGAAACAAAGCAACACACACTTCAACAACAATTGAATATTCTTTTCACCATTATTTACCAATAAAGTTGATTGGAAATCTCCAAAATTTACAGTTGGTATGAACGAAATGCGAAACGGTGATATGATATACATTTGAAAATCCAGATGAATGAATCTTGACAACAGATCATATCTTTACTCCATTTATTATTACTGGAATTAGTTATTCAGTGATATTCATTACTAAAATCTCTGTAGTTTTATTAAGAGCTATAATCACGAAAAGTCAACCCTTATCCACATTTTAGGGATACGTACGATTACTCGACACTAGTGTCTTTAATAAATGAATTCACTGACAAATATGTGTGGACCCAAAGGCTTATGGATAAACTGATGGGATGTATCCAAGTTCAGATAGGACATTGAATAGGTCAACAATCAGAATCGAAATTATGGAAGATTAGTGATTAAAAAACGAAATAATTTGTCAACTGAAAGTTCATGAGGTTACACACAATGTTGTTATACATATTTTGATATGAATGAGGTGACGTAATCATCATCCGTCTATTTAATAATACATATTTTAAAAATGAAAACTATACTGTATTAGTCATCACAAATTTAGCATATAAATGACTTTTCTTACCGTTGATAAATTTCAGAGTGAAGTACACGTGAAGTTCTAGGTGGAACTGATACAAATATTGGAGATGAAGGACGACCTGTTTGTGGTTGGGTTGGAATAGTTTGAGGCTGAGATTGCATAAATTGTGTTCCTGGAACAACTGAAACAGAAGCCATGACATTCGGAGCGATTGGTTGATTTTGAGGAACTAAAGAAAAATTGATCATTTCAATTAGTTAGTATAAGTATGTAAATAGTAAAAGCAGTTTCATTGTGGAATATCATCGTTACAAAATAAAATGAATAGTTAATAATGTTGGCTACATGTTGTTTACATTTTATCTTGCACATTCAAAATTAAGGTCAAAGGAATCTTTAAACAACCTAATTATTGTTCGACCGTAGACTACATACAAAGTGTATGTATTTGGATAAGGGTTAACAAACAGATGTTGTTGAAAAATCTGCAAAAGAAGTTTTGAGTACTTTGTTTTTTCTAACACTGAAGTAAAAGCTAATAGATTAGGAGTTTCAATAAATATCACAAACGTATTTGTTTGTCCTGTTAAAATTATTTATAAAAAATAAATACAAAGTTAAAGCTAAGAGATGAGACAAAAGTAAAGTGATAAGAATAAATAAAGTGCTTAAGATTATCTAGCATTTATAAACAGTTGAGTTCATAATGATTAATGAATTACATATACAGAAATAGTGAAACCAAGATTAGCATTGCTATTGATGACACTCAGTCAGTCAGTCAGTTGCAAAGTAAAACTTTGTACATAAGTACATCAGTTCATGTTGCCATACCACATCAGCACAGATATATAATTGTCAATTCAAATCCAATAGTAGAAGAGTTAGTAAGGGTATCAGAAGTAATCGAAAAGGTTAGGATTAGAAGATATTATTCAAGAAAGAAGTATGATTCAGTGAGAAAAGTTTAGAAAGTCAAAACTAGAGGTGTTGGAGAATCCAGAAGATTAGGATTTGAGAGAACACAAAGCATAAATGCACCGGCGCCATTGCGAACGATTTTGAGCCATGTCATTCAAGGTCTCTAACCATCGATTATTATCATCTCGCGGACCCCAACCAGGTAGTCGACAATTACCGACATGGCTAAGTCCACTCGTCAATGACTTCATGGATTTCTGCCATGTTTTGGTTTGGCCGCCCCTAGCTTTCTCCTAACCTACTCCTACACTACAAAACAAAGCTCGAAGAGGCAGTCGGTGGTTAGGCATACATAACACATGTCCCAACCACCTCAACTGATGAAGTGTCACTGCTGCGTCTATTGAACTGCCATTCTTACACAGCACCCGATTCCTAATAACAGCGTTGCTCACCCGGGTGTCCCACGATATACGAGCATATTGATGACACTATAATCAGTAAGTAGTCTTATTAAATTGTAAACAAACTAATTCAAACAGTAAATAGATTAGAATGAAAGATAGGTAAATTGCAAGCACTGTAAGTAGTAAGAACAAATAATTTACCTTGTTGTACTAACTGGTACTGTGGTTGAACTTGTGAGGTATAATCTTGAGGACAAGCTCCCAAAGTTGGGCCAGACGGTTGGACAATATGTGAAGCACCTACAGCCGCGACAGCCACACCAGGATGTAGCTGAGGTTGATTTAATGTTGGAGTTGTTGTTGTTACTAAACCACCCTGTGCTAAAGCTGGGAAGCCTGTTGAAGGTACAGATCCTGTAGAACCCAAAAGTATCTGTGCTTGTTGAACGTTGGATATAGAAGGACCTGCATTCGTACCCACGGGTAAAACAGGTGGTACAGTAGTTCCTGATCCAATAACAGTACCCATTATGGTGGGTGTAGAACAGACGCTAGAGGCAACCAAGACGCGTTGTTGTTGTGGAGTTTGTGGTTGCATCTGTGGTTGGTAAAATGGTTGTTGTGGCGTTCCAGAACCAACGGTCCCAGTTGAAAGAATGTTATGCTGTTGGTTGGAAAGCTGATAAACAACCTGTTACGTGTTAAATACAGACAGCAAGAAATGTAGCATGAGAAAATAGGCATTCTTAAAGCTTACATTATATATATGAACTCTGTAAACAATTCATGCACTCCAAAAATTAACACAAAAAAGCAAAGTTATGAGAAATAAACGAAGCAACATTAAAAACCGTTAATAAGACATATGTACTTATGCGAAAATGAGAACCGTATCGCAGGAAATCAATAAGACGGTATTAACTATCAGCTCAGAAAACTGGTTTACAGATTAAATTATTCTTACTTAAAATCTTGGCTGAAATGATGATATTTTATGAAAGGGCGATTTCGAAAGAGCTCTTTATAAATAGTCCGAAAAAGGTTGTGACTTTCTTCGTACAAAAGAATGTAGTCTTTGAATATACTAATCTACTTTTAAAGTTGAAGGTAAGACAGAATTAAAAGTTTAACATTACACATAATCTGAAATTTTCTAACCTGATGAGTTGGAGTGGCAACTGGACAAGCCGAAGCAATAGCAGGTATTGTTGCATATGTAGTTTGAACAATATTAGCAGGTTGACCAAGAGGTGCAGCAGCTGTCTGAGCTGGTACTGCACTATGCCCAACTACATTCGGTGTTGAAGAGGCGTGTACAATTTGGATTACTTGACCACTTGGTGTTTGATAAAACTGCATAGTAGCAGCTGTGGCAGTTACAGGCATTCTAGATAAAGGAGGTGGATTAACTGGTGTGGCAGCCTGAACAGGTAGTGATCCAGGAACGTTGAGATTTGGAATAGATGT